TGGAAATCAAGTGCATTTTTTATAGATTTTGAAAGTGCATCCCTTACATATTCAGGAATGAAAGAGGGTTTCAGGTTCCATATTTCACTACCACCCTTGCCATGACTTTTGAGACTTTTTCTTCTTCTTCACAGCCACCCTCTGGCTTTAAAAGCTATAGCATACAAACATTGGATGACAATATCTACCAAACTAGCTTAAATTAGTATCAGAATTTGATTGGCAACTAATCATTAACAGGCCCTTGTCTGAAGTGAGCTCTTGCCTCTACACACTGATGTCTTCCCCCAGAGCCCTTGAACCTTTTTCTTCCCAGCAACACAGAGTCTTTCTAAGCCAAGAGAAAGCAAAACAGAGAAAGCCTCTGAGTAACATCACAGGGTTGGGGATCTGAGTCTATGTTGTGGGTAAGATGAGAAGTCTCTGGAGGCCAGTTTCCTGTTGATAGAAAAGGCATACTGCAAGCTATTGAGCTCTTAATGAGGGAAGTGGAGAGGTTTGGTTCCCCACCAAGCCAAGTAGCAATTTGACCTTGCTCATCTGAGTGGGGCTGAAAGGTTTGGGGAAGATATGGTTGCCATCCCAATTCCCCCAATGGGTATTTTGTCACAGGAGAACAGTGGCCAGCAGAGCCACGTGACAGTGGAGTCTCCATCGGATCATGCTGCCTACTCGTATCAGTACAACAAGTAACAACAGGTAAGGACAGGTGGGGGGACTGGCATATAGTAGTCTTCTTCTTCCAGAGACATGTCCGTTCTTATCGGTCACTTGCTCCTTCACCGGTTCCAGAAAATAACTGAGTACAGGGCTCATGACTGGGGCATTGGGCATTGACCCTTGACCCTGAGCCTACAACACAGGAGGGTCCCTCTCAGGGTAATTTTCTAGGCAATCTGGATAGAGTCATCTCTCCTCCCAAGATGAGAGAAGGCCACTTCAAGGTGCAGAGAGAAAGATAAACGAAAGCAAGAGTTAGGAGGCCACTGAAGGTATTTTCTCCCGTAACTGGATTTGGCTCTCTGTGTCTCCTCCACATGCCAGGAAGCTTCCTGAAAGGAGGCTAGCGTGGCCCTTGAGACTTGGGGCACTGACTAGAACTGTGTCAGAGTGTGATGACTGGGGAACTTCATCTCTTTCTACAGCATCCAGTCACAGCCACTTGGGAAGTGAGATCTAGGGTCCTCCCCTCCCTGTTCTTTATTGCGGAGGGGCAGCAAGCGTGGCTTGGAAATGAACAATTTTCCCTCCTGAAGTCAGAAACCACACCGTGTGATTCAAGTAACTGCAGGAAGCCAGTTTGGGGACTTGTGCTTAAGTGGGCTTTAATTTCTAAAAAGCACAAAAGAGACTTGCCAAGCACAAGGCTTGTAGTGGAGCGGTGCTTCTTCCTGCTGCTTAATCTGAAAGAGAATAAAAAGGGCCTTGAGACCCTTTAAGGACAGACAGGAGGATGAGCTACTCTGTTACTCCTAAATAAGCCAAAGGAGAAAGGAAACAAAGTGGTTGGTGCATCCCAGGGGAATTTGGTCTAGAAAGGAAGTGGGAAAACACACACACACACACACACACACACACACACGGTTTCAAAATGAAAGCTATTAGGCCCATCGATCAGTTCATCAGGGATGTTGCCCATATTCCCAGAGACGGCTGGGGAATTTAGATGGAGGGGAACATTTTCCCATATCATCTGCCACATGCTCCCAAATGTAAACAGCGCCCCAACTCCAGCAGTCAACCATCACCAGGCATCCCCAGAGGAATTTGTTTGGACCCCCTTTATTATTTTCACAAGCTGCTGGTTGAAACTGACCATGCTGTGGGCTGGAAGGAAAGCCCAAATAAGACGATCCTCTGATTCCTTCCTGGGCCTGTGGGAGCTGACAGCATCCTGTGCTCACCTGGGAGAAGATGCAGAACTTGCCCAGAGAAGGGAAGGCAGTTTAGACATGCAGTCCAAGGAAGGGGCCACACTGATTGTGGAAACTGCCTGTAACACAGGAGAAAGGGATCAAATTCCACTTAGGGCTTGGGGAAAAAATGGTGTAATCATGTTTGCGTCCCTAGGAAACAGAAAGCCCAAGAGCGATCCTGGGACTTGAGTCTCCACATCATGTTCCACAGAGCATTTCTCTACCTGAGCCTTCTCTAGCTGGGCACAGTCCAAGTGTGGCCTTTGTTCCCAGAATTCTCAGCTGTGGTGACTGGGGAATTCTGGGAGTTGAAGTCTGCACATCTGGGAATCAGCCAGGTTAGTGGAGGCTGTCCTACCTCCTGAGCTCCAAGAATAAAGAGGAATCAAACTTCTCACTGGGATAGGATGCAAAATCTCATTCTAGTCCCAGGAACAGGCCTAGCTCCTGTGTTGGCTTCAGTTTTTTCTGTCAGGACCAGCAGATTTGAACCTTTGGCACAACCACAAGCTGAGGGAGCAAAGAGTGGAATGCTAATGGGACTTCTGAGTAAAGTTTTCCCCCTTTGCATAGCCTGGCAATTTGTGGCCATGTGATCTCTTCATCAGGTGCTTGAAGGGTAGGTGACCTCCAAGAACTATTGAAGGTCACCTGCTGTACCTTTTGCATGTCCTCTGTCCCAAGACTTGTTTGTTCTCCCAAGCAGGCTAATATGACTCTCCGCTTGGAATTCTGAGATCAACTCTCAGAATGACCTTTTTTGCAGGAGCTCCTGGTGTGACATCAACATTTCCCACAGCGAACACTTGAAGGAGGCCAATGTTCTGTGTCTTAGAGTGGGGTCTCCTTTGTTCGCTGCTGGAAACGGGGGGGGGGGGGGGGGGGGCAAGGCTTCCTGCAGCAAATGTTAAGCGTAGAGCTGCCCTGACCAATTCAGGCCGAACTGTCTCTGCTCGTTCAGTTGAAAGGCCTTCTTCCTCATAGGTAAGTGGCTGAAGGTTGGGGCTAAGTGCCTGAGAAGGTTGCATGTGCTCAGATATGTCCTTCTTGAGTCTCAAATGCTTCCTAACACATTGGACACTAAGGCAGTTGCCAGAGGTGGGAAGGGAGGGCTGAAGGAGGAGGGGTTGGGACTGAGACAGTTTCTCTTCTTGCTTACCGCTGTGTGTGCCCACCAACCACCTCCGCCATTGTCTTTGTTGCCCACCCTCGTAATTCCCTCCATTTTTCATCCCTTTAGTGCCACCGAGCAGCTCAACTCTGAGCAATCACTTCGAGGGAGACAACTTTTTTTTTGTTAAATTTTGTGCTGCGTTTAGAAGATGTTGGAACCATTTTTGTTTTTGTTTCTTTTCTTCTTTTTCTTTTTTCTTTTTCTTTTTGGCAAAGAAAAAGGTTGTTTTGTTTTTTTAAAAGGAAATAACCGCAATAGACTTTTGTCACCGAGGAACCAAAGGAGGTTAGAATGGGGGTACAAAAAAATATACCCCCAACCCTTAGATGTACAGATGGACTAAGGACTATTTTAATACGAGAACATTTGTGTGTGTGTGTGTGTGTGCGTGTGTGTGCGTGTGCGTGTTTATTTTCTTGATAACAGCAAAGTCAAACGCTTTGGATGCCCCAGAATTCCCCAGAGAAGAAAAGATTTTTTCCCCTTCTTTTGGAAAGATGGTTCGGTACCTCTGGGAGGAAAGTTTTTTTGCTCCTTTGAATTCATTTTGTTTTCTTTGGTCATGTAAAAGATTTTTTAAAGGACAAATATGCAAAAGTGTTTGAATATTTTTTTGTTGTTGTTTTATAAGGAAAAAATGCTCTGAAAAAGCCCCACCTCGCAGCTGTAGGATAAAAATCAGTGCAGAGTTCTTTTTTCTTCTTCCTTGGGGTGGGAGCGGGGAGGGAATTTTGCTTTGAAAGGATTATTTTATTATTTCAAGAGGGTATTTTTTTTCTAAAAAAGACAAATTTACAAAAAAATAAAAAAGAGGAAATTTACAAAAAAAATTCAGAAAAAAGGAAACCTAAAAAAAAAAGTTGAACTTTGGCGGCAGCAAGAGGGGTTTGCTTAACGCTTGTCAAGTCGGAATGAGATGATGCGGCTGGAGGCATCTGATGAACTTAATCCTTTTTTCTTTTTTTGGCATAAATTTTGCCTCAGCCGAGAGAGAGAGAAACAGAGTTTGCTCCAGACCTCAATTTCTGCCCTCTGTCCAATTGGACTGTTTTTTGCTGGATGTTTTGGACTCTGATTTGAGCTTCTGTGCAGACCCGTCTTTGCTTCCATGGGGATCTCCCCCTCGCCTGCCCTGTCCTGCCCTGGACCAGGGGAACAATAAACGGACTAAGGAATCTGCCGCCAGCGATGCGTCATCACCTCTGGACTCTTGGACGTTGAATGGACACGTTGCCAGCAACAGTGCTTCACCCCGTCCCCCTCCCCGGGATACACACACTTACACACACACACACACAGTGCCTTCTGCTGCCTGCGGTCCGGACTGCGCTGCCGTAAGCCCCCCGCCCCCCAGTTCCTGCATGCCTGTCGAGCCCAGGTACACCGTGCGTCCGTTCTCTCGACCGACTCCGCTGGGAGCAGGTGCTTATCCTTCCGACTGGTGGGGACTGTGGGAGGCCTGTCCCGATGGCTGTAAACCAAGCAACCAAGGAGCATCGAGCACCTTGCAGGGGGATGGCAAAGCTCCCCGCTCTCCCCCTCCAGAGATCCTAGTTACTATGCACGTTATGCCTTCCCTTCCCCCAGCCCTTGATTGCTGGCACCCTGATTTGCAATAGGAGGAAACTATGTGCAATAATCCAGCCTTTCCTCCTGCGTGTTTCCCTGCAGAGCCTCCTGAAGGTACCAAGTGCTTTAGACGCCTCTGCATGTTTCCTTCCCCTCTCCCCCAACCAGATGGTGCTAAAAGTCATCCTTTCTTCCACCATAAAGTCACCCCAGCCCAGCTGGCATGTAGCTGACCCTTTCATTCTGTTGTCCAATGTTGCTTTCCCCACCATGGGCTATGATTGCAAGAAACCTTGTCCCCTTTACTCCCCCCTCTCCCCTCCCCTCCCCTCCCCCATGCTGGCCCCTTCCTTTGAAGAAATAGCTCTTATGCAGCTGACAATCAGGAAGGAGCAATGGCAGAGGCCATACGGGTGTCACACGAGTCTAGGAAAGCAAAAGCATGTGTGCATGTGTCCCTATCTGTCTTTGTGTGTGTGTGCCATCCATGTGTTGCGGGAGTGGAGACAGAACTGTGGTAGGATGACCTGTGAGGAGGTGGCCTAAAGACATCGGTGGAATTGGACTTGTGCATTTCTCAGGATCCTTTCGTTGTCTTAGCCATTTTTAAAGCATGGCCCTGACTGAGCAGGAGCCGGTTTACCTCCTGCTTGAGGTTTTGGGCGGGTTCAGTTAGCCCCATCCTCATACCCCTTCAGCCAGGCTCGTGTATCTCTCTTCCCAGTTGCTTGTGACAAAGGACCTCCCGCAGACGGGAGTCACAGCCCTTGCCCTGCTGAGGCTGCTGATACCACCCAGGAAAGAGAGGCGAGGCGAGGTGAGCAGAAGCCCAGGCCTGTTAGCGGATCCAAAGGCTGCGTTGGTGCCCCTTCCTCTAGCCTGGGGCCACTGCCCTGGTTAGCATAACAATCCCTTCCCCTTAGTGCTGAGATAAACTCAAGTGCCTTTTTTGGGGCATGCAAGCTTGCCTTCATCTTTATTTTATTTTAATTTTAATTTTAATTTTATTTACTTTTATTTACTTTTATTTTTTTAATTTAAT